CTTTTTTTTCTTTTTTTTGCTTTAATTCTCAAATTTTCTAAATATTGTTGGCAGGATTTGATAAATCCAAATTTATACAATTTATTAAAATTATTAAATTCATCATGATATTACCTCTTAGAGTAGGTATGGCCGACGCTAATTCATTATGATATAACCCCCAACCCCATTATAAAAGCCAAACACTTTGGCCAAATAAGGTAAAAAATTAACAACTATTTATTAAAATTGCTATTTTTATATTGTAAAAGGGGGTGTCAAAAATTAAATGGACTTGAAAAATTCATATTCGGGTTAACTAGATTCGGGTCAACTTAATGTTAGAAACTCTAACTCGTCTAATTTACTGGGTCCGATTCAGACGTTCAATCTGACCTGCCAACCCGAATTCTTAATCGAAATTCACCCTCTAACATGAAATATACACAATAATAACTCTAAGTTGACATAAATTTTAAACTGAATAGTTGTTGTCTTATGTTAAACGGGTTATACGAGTCGGGTTCGAGTTAGTAGTTCGAAGAATGTTTGGGTCTGCGTTTGGGTTCGTGTTGAATTTTTTAACCTGTTTAATATTCGAGCACGGTTCAGATGTGTATGTTATATATATTAGAACTCTATCAATGCCTAGCTAAAAGTGGGTAGGTTGTCTTAAAATCCAGCAGAAATATAGATGCCGGCACAACTCATTTAACATTTAATGTATTTATTTATTTAACATTTGAATTTTAATTTTACATTTATATGCCATCTTATCTATATAAGAAAATGTATATTTTACTTTTATTTATTAAGGTAAAGAAAGAAATGTATTGATTTGATATGAAAGATATAGGTGTTATAAATGCAAAAAAGGTAAAGCTTGAGTGTTAAACATGTAATTACATAAGAATTAGGTGATATGCATGTAAATGATCCATAAAATTTTAAAATAGGGTGGTATAAATATAAAAATCAAAATTTAGTAATTAAATATGCAAATATACATAAATTGAAATTAAAATAAGTGCGGTAATGATATATATATATATATATATATATATATATAT